ATATGGCTCAGCAACCAACTAAATCTATTGACAGACATCAATTTTGAAATGTAACGGTCATTAAAATTTTCATCTGAAGACCAGTAATCGCGGTAACGTGGTGATTTCTTGATTCCCATAAGCAAGTTCAATCTAATAAAAGTTTTTATTTCCCCAAGATTTGTTTGAGTGTAGTGTTTGTTAGTGGCCTGATGAACTTGTTCAGCATCGATAATAGTTTGAAACGTAATATCTTCCAATATTTCGTCCAATATCAGAATATTAAATAGTTTATATGGCGTACAACTATCCGGATTAATCTCTAAAATTTCGCCTGCTAAACCGCATTGCGATTGGAAATCGGATGGTAGTCCTATCAATTGCATAGTGTTCACTGCCCAAGTCACACTCGTCTGGAATCTTCTTGGCAGGCACAAAACTAAATAATGGCAAGTCGTCTTCGGAATCTTCTTCAACGACGACAGCAATCTCATCCGTGTCATTTTTAACATCAGTGTCATTCTCGTTTTGAACTATGTCTCCAATATCCGATTCTGAATCACTTAGCATACACTCAGAATCGTCTACAGGGTGATTCAAAATTGGCGTCATTCTTCTGGAGGTGTTGTCTGGCGCTGTTATAGGAGTACAGATAAAATAGTAAAATAAATTAATTGTTATTAAAAACTGAGAAATTTGCAAAAAAAACTATATCGGAAATACGGCAGCAATGTTTTTCAAGGTAATCTGCCTAATTAAGATTGCGCAAATACCTGTTGCTTCGCAATTATTTAAAACTCCGGTAACCATGGAATTATACAGACTGACAATAAGATAGACAAGGATAAACTCCAAATTCAACAAGACTTGTTGACGAAATGTTAACCTGTTCTCATAACCTCGAATATTGATGTTTAAAAATGAATCATACAACACCAAACATTTGAATGGTTAAATCCAAACAAGCTTGTGCCTGTGTAATTTCCTTATTATCCACTCTTATCAAGCAGCTTCTCGTATTCAGTTAATTAACTCCTGCTCCATTTGTATCTCCTTGTGCTGTGTGTATCGTACAAACGTGGTAGGAACGCCCTTCCTCGCTATTTATTTGGTGCTTGGGAAAGTGTCTGTTATTGTGCTCTGAGTGCCCCTGGAAGGCCCTGATTCGATTATGTTCAGGACGTGTTCTTCTGTGCCTGAAACCAGAACATCTATCGTCCACTATCTTCCTGGAACCACTCTCCTCGCCCTTTGTTGGCGTGAGTTCTTTCAGCTGCTGCTATGTTACTGTGGCATTTCCCCTGAAATAATGGCGTATCGCGATTATTTGTGATTTGATCCCTCATGGATTTTAATTGTTGTTGTTGCTACTCTATGTGTGTTGGTTATTAGGTCTGTGGATCTGTAATCTATTCTGCTCTAAATTAACGAGTTTTTCACTGCCCAGTATTCCACACTATCGAGGCATTTTCTAAGCCGATAAACGGCATAGACAACAATAGAGTGGGATTCGTTGGCGTTTTCTATTAGGATTTTCATTGCTAATTGGTGGTCAATCGGAGTGAAACCCTGTCTAAAGCCGACCTGTTGTTGTTAACCTAGTCGTTAGTATTTTTGTGAGGAGCTTATAAACGACACTAAGGAGTGTTATAAGTTATAAGTCGATAGTTTCTTAGGTCTGCTCTCTCACCTTTCTTATGTAGGATGATGGTTTTTGATTCATTCCAGTTGTTTGGGATACTTTTATCTTGTCGTATTTTATAAAGGAGAGTGTGAAGAGTATCTACTACAGTTTCTCCACCATATCTTAACATTTCTGCCGTTATTATGTCTTTTCCTTTTGCTTTGTTATTTTCCATTTCTTTCAGTGTCCTCTTTAATGACAATCCGCTTATTTAAAGTTGTAGTTCTGAGTTTATGTTCTTTATTTTATTTTGGAGTTGTTATAAGATTTTTTCCAGGGGTTCCCGTTTTGTTTGGTATATTTCTGTATAAAATAGTTATGTGATATTTATGATTTCCTCTTTAATATTGGTTTCCTCGCGGTTCATGTTTTTTACTTTATTTATCTCATATCTACCTAATGTTGGTCTTAAGCATTTCATATTCCTGTTGTTTTCTATAACTTTCTCTAGTTCTGTTTCTTAGTTTTTCCTTTTTTTTGTCATTTTCCTGATAGTCTAATTCATTTATACGTATTCGATTGAATTGATTTTCGCATCCCTTCTTTGCCCATGTTCCGCCTTTGCTCCATGAGTTTCGCTGTGATGCAATTTTCCTTCTTTTTTTCCTCTTGTACTATTTCTTTTCCTACTCTAATAGTGATTTTTGTTAGGGTATCGTTTATTTTATCTCTATTTCTATTAATGCTGTTTAGGTTTTAGTGTTAGTTGGTTTTTTTCAGTATTTATTTATATGTTTTTGTATTTTTTTCCGTATTGTCTAGCAAATATTTGAAATCTGCTTATTGCCAAAATTCTCAACAAAGTAAAAGGTACACGGCCAAATTTGCTTGAACTTTGGAACTGGATAAATTCTGACTGCTGCGTGGTATCTGATTTTTGTTTCAGGCGTTGTCCAGTTAAATTATTTTTTTATCAGTCCGCGTTTTTGCTAAAAACTAGTGTTTTAGATAAAGTTTCTAAAGGGTAGCAAATGAGACAATGCAAAATTTAATGAAATAATGCCATTGAGCAAAAAAAACGGTTTCTTCAATTTTTTGCCAATCTATTTTATTTGGAGCGTTAAATTAAATTTTCTGGTTTTGCAGTGATAATATTTCTCCTTTAAGGGTCTCTAATTTACTATTCAATTGAAAAACTACCTGGCATGAGAATGCCAACTATGGAATACGTATTGAACAGCAATTAGGTTATGAGAAATACAAACAGAAGTATAAATATAGAGTTTAATAAACGGACATACATCTGCTTTGTAAACTTAACCAAGATATTTTCCGGGTTGTACCTAAAGACGCCTTAAATATATTGAGAAAAATGAATGTGCAGGGCTGTTTAACAAAAATGACGCTAGTCCTCAATACCACACACAATATAATTAAATAATTTACCTAAAGGAAGTCCAGGAAACAAAACAATAGGAAACGTTTTTTACCCCAGCGATACAAATATTTATTATGACCAAACATATAGTTATAGAATATTCTCATGAACGATTAAAATAATATGAACATGAAATAATTTATGGTTGAGCGAAAAATTGCTTTTTGGTGCTATGCAGATTATGAAACAATAATTACAATTTGGCAAAATCTATAGAAAAGCAATGATAGCAAAGTTTGTATATATACAAATTAGATGTGATCAATAATGACATGCGAAGTATAAATAGAGCAGGATACCGGCTAAACGAAAACTATCCTGCCGGTATACGAATTAAGATCGCGACATTTAAGGCGTAGAAAGATGGGGAACACAGCGAAGAAGAAATAGGGTGTAGTCACCTGAGACGACTGGTCAATCAGCAATTTTTCAAAAATGCTGAGGATTTAGAACACCTTTCGGCCCTCACGAAATATACCGAATTCACTGGCAATCAACCTCCCAACAAGTTATAATTATCTCCCTCCAACATACTCACAGATGCTCAAAGACGAAAAGGAGAACAGTGTATTCTACAGCCTTTCTAACGTTTAATGTGTCACCTTGTAACGGTTGAAAATGAGATTTAGCCAATGGTTCACCTGTCTGCTAACCCGTTGTTCAAATGTATGTATGTGATTTTCATTAGTAACTTGGATTTAGTAAGTACGTTTGTCAGATTAGGTTAGTAATATTTTGGAGATTATTTGAATTTTGATGTTTGGATATTTGTATCTCTCTCCCAAACATCAGCAGTCTTTATTATGGGTTTGTCTGGCAACGTGGTGGTTGCCCCACCTTCACGGACCACCGTTATTGATGGGAAGCGACGAGGAGTGGACCCAGCAGGGTCACCGAGCGAAGGGTAATCAAGTACCAGATATTGCCGAACATAGTCGATCACCGTCACCTTGACCGCCGAATCCGCCATATTCTGCTGTGTGGTAGATCTGACCGCTACTTGACCATCCGTTTGGGACATCAGCCACCTCCTGGTTCCCGACTGGGGATATTGACCCACTGAAATTGTGGACTGGATAGCCAGGGACGGTCTGGATAAGATCTGGACCTAGCACGTAGGCATCGGCAGCACGTGGCGGCGACTTCGGAGACTTGCTGGTGTTTGGGGCGAGGATCGCTATTCGGTTATATATCGGTTGTCTATTATTAATTTGTAATTTCTGGAACTTTTCATTTAATTAGGTAGTTAACGTAGGTTACAGATCAAACGGTTAGCAGACGGTAGTTTGTGGTCGTCAAACCACGTTTTCTTGTTATCTATTAAGCTCACCATTTTCTTTTTTTTGTCATCATCATTTAAGTCAGTTTACGTGCTATCACGGTAAAAGAATTGAGTAGGTATTTCGGCAGCATTCCATCGCTGAGTGTTCTAGTTTTGCCGCGAAAACTAGTGGCGCTCAAACGAACTCACCCTTCGGCCTTTGCACACGACCGCCCGAAATACCCGCTCAAGGGAAACCCTTTTTTTTCTCTCTCTCTCTATTAAACTGTTATTTAAATCGTTGCATTAAATAGTTTTCCTTAAAGGTTGATTTTTATTCTTTTGTTCTGTCCGAAATTTGCAACCTTTTGTCTATAATATTATTAGAAATCAATACCGATATATTCAATTTTTATATTCAAGAGAAAGTTCTCCTGGTTGCATTTTTTAATGACAGTTGCAGTTTTCTCCTGCACCAAAAAATTTTTTTCCGGAAAATTTTGTACGCCCTGCTAGAATTTCAAAAACTGTTCCTTTGAAGGATATTCAGTTTTCCCAGGAACACTGTAGTTGGCAACTTAATGCGGACTCAATATGATTTTTTTAACTCTGGTGTTTTTTTCCCTTCCCTGTAGTTCTTACATGCAAATACCAAAGGCCAAACACATAAGAGACAGAGAGATAAATTTTGCCTCCGGTTAACCTCAAATCACATGTATTTATGATACATAATATTTTATTATCAAATACATAATACAAAAAGCTAACTATACTAAATATATATATATACTGTATACACTAAAAACCTAAAAATATTTATATTTATGAAAATGATCCTGCTCAGATTTGAATTTTTCTCAGTCTCAACCAGAAACCGCCCTCTACAGTGTTTCTAAATGTTTTTTTGGAAAGTTTCAATGGCACACTGAGACGCTTTGTTGGCTCAATTTTGAAATTCAGCAACAAATGGTATAAAACAGCTTTTGCTTCAAGAATAGCGAACCTAGAACCAATACAGTTTCTCGGACCTGAACCGAATGGAATATATGTGTAGGGTCTAATCTTGTCCTTATTTTCGTGGGAAAATCGTTCGGGATCGAATGTCTCCGGATTTTCATAGTAACGTGGATCTCGATGAAGGCCCATAATGGGAAGCATCAGCACGTCTCCAGGCTTCAGGTGAACGGGTTTTTCATCGGGACGGACAGGTTGAATTGTGTATGATTTAGTACATGCTCTGTCAATGCTTGGAGCCGGCGGCCATTTTCTAAGTCCCTCTAAAAAGGTAAGTTAGTAATGAAAAGCGTAATATTTTAAAGCTACACAGGTAATAAAAAATATTGCGTTTTTTACCAGAAAACACCATATCCATGTATTTCATTTTCAGTAATGCATCATATGACAGCTTTCCATTATTAGCTTGTTGTGTCTCGATAATTTCTTCCCTGAGCCTCTCTTGAATATCTGGGTTTATTGCAATTTCGGAAGTAACAAAACACAAGGCAGTTGATACCGTATCGAAACCAGCAAAGAAGAAAATTAATGCTTGTGATGTAATATCATCATCACTTAAATACTTGAATTCCTTGGCTTTTGGTTTATCTAAAATGTAGTTATTATTACTAATTTTGTTATGTACTATGCAAAAGTAATATATTACATTTGCAAGTAATTCTGAACGGCATTTTCACAAATTTGTATTGAGGTATATTTAATGAAAATTATCTTACTTGTAGAAGAAAATTCTTTGACGGTGGCAAAACCTGTTTCGACAACTCCTTCTTCTTCATTAGTGATGCCTTTTCGTGTATCCAAAAGCAGATTCAGCATATCTTTCCTGACAATGCTTTTTTGAATCCTAACTTTGATTGTATCGTGTATTATGACTCGAAAGTAGCATACTGGATTTCTTGGAAATAGGGTTAATCTGAGGTACTGGAAAAGTATTGAACAATGCGTAGTTCAATATAGATGTTGAAAGCATTTAAGCTCAAAATGTAGTTATTATGCATTAAGTCGAAATGCATTCATACCTTGGCCAATGTAGGCATTGACGTTAGGGTAATAAACCTAAGTGTGTTTAGGAAACCACTTAAATCAGTTATTGTTTCGCCCATGGTATAAAATGTATTTTTGGGGTCTGCTAAAGAGTTTACTTGGATTCCAAATGCTGATGTGGCAATTATGTCATTCGTGTACCTAAATTTAAACAAAAACTTTATGAGTATAGTTAAAATGGGAAGCCAAATTTTAGCAACATGAGAACACGATTTCTTACATCATCATCCTTCTTACAAATATAAATGTAACTTACTTTGTAAACACATCTTTAAATTCAAGTTCAAAAAATTTCTCATTTTTACTTGCAAAATGTTTTGAGAAATTTTCAGCAGTTTCGTTTATTACATCAAACATATGCTTCATTTTGCTACTAGTAAAAGATCCACTTAAGGTTGCTCTCATTTCCCTCCATTTCGCTCCTGAAAATATGCATTTAGAAAATAATACGTACGAAATTACTGCCTGCAGCTAAAGTGTTGAAAATTTACTAATTAAATAGTACCTCTTAAAGCAAATAAATTCCCACTCCAAATTGGATCTGATTCAGGTTCAACAATCTTTCTGTGATCAGTGAAATGGTCAAAATCTTTGACTGTTATTTGCTTAATCAATTGTGGATCTCTTAGCATTATCGAAGGTGTTGCAAATTGGAAAAATCCAGTATATCTAAAATGTGCAATAGGGACCTGTATTATTTACACTCAGTTTCTAGTTTGAAAATGCTGTTGAAATGTTGTATTATTTCCTTGATATATATTTGCGTTAACGTGATTTTAGCGTTCTGTAGTCTAATAAAAAAAACTAAGTATTTCAAAACGTTGATTTTGATATGTCACGAAATAATGACACAAAAAAACAGATATTACTAAACGTTTTAAATGAATCCAGGAAATTAGATGTCACCGAAACCCCAAATCTCGAGCAGATTGACATACAGAACACGATACGTATCGTCGTTCTAAGATGCAAATTGCCTCCCTCACAAAATGACAGTTTTGTAGCAGAGCTACAAAACTTTGTCAATTTTAATTAGAAATAAAATAGAAATAAATTAATATTTTTTTCCATTGCCGGTTTTTGTTAGAATTTATTGTTTACATTATATTTAACTATACTGAAATTTTAGTTTTTTTACTGCGATTAACTGGACATAGGCAAGTTGTTTATTTACTTTTTGACTATGTTAGGACTTGAGCCATTTTCGTTTCTCATGAAACCAATAAAATGTATTAAACAATACATTTTACTTTACACTATAATTTATATTACTAATGAAAACCAATAGCCCGATTTATTAATAATATATATCATTATTTAATACTTTTACAAGTGTAATAATAAGTTTTACGTTTTATAAGTGGGTCAAACTATCGTAAAAAGCATGGTTTATTTAAAGACAATTTTAAATCCATTCAATGTTGAAAGATCTCCTTTTGAATTGCTATAGGTGCATCGTAAATTTGAGGGATGGCGTAATATGATGAAACAGTTTGATTTTTATTCAGCCGCCATGGTAAATGTTTCCATTCTTGTTAGTGACGAATTTCAAACACACTGACACTTGAGCTTCGCCAATCTTTCCACGACGTCGCAGACTTCTGTCCTCCGCCTAATATCTACGTTTGGGATCCCGTCTCGCAGATTTACTCCCAGCATTGCTCGTTCCATCACTCTTTGGCATATTCGGAGACGGTTTGCGCTGTTTGCTGCAAGGGTGGCAGTTTCGAGTCCGTATGTTGGCACAGTCAGGATACAGTTATCCTAGACCTTCTTCTTTAGCTTTATTGGGATTTTTAGTTATCGAAGTATTTATCTAAGCGTCTAGAATGCTGCCCAGCGGAGGCCGATTCGTCTGGTAATCTCCGCAGTTTGATTACTTTTTCGGATTTTGATTTTATGTCCAAGATATATGTATTCTTCGACTAGCTCCAAAGTATGGTTCTCGATGGTGACTCGGATGTTGGACGTGCTCATGATTTTCGATTTTTAGATGTGCATCGTTGTAAGTTCGGCCGGATAGCTGCTAAAGAGGACAATATCGTTTGAGAAGCTGAGATGGTTAAGATATTTCCCAACAATCTTGATGCCTTTCTGATTCCATGATAGGCCCTTTATGCGTGCTCCATTGCAAGGGTGAATAACTTGGGTGATTTTATATCCCCCTGCCTGACACCTCGCTGTACTTGGACGTTTGCAGTAACCCACTCTTCGTCAATTTTTACGTGCATGGTAGCATGTTTGTAGCTCTATGGGTGGGTAAGAGGCGAAGGCGAATAACAACTATCAAAGCCAGACCAAATATCAACCTCACCTGCACGTGGTGCCCACTGCTAGAAACGAACGAGGCTCTGACTACCGAGATACGGCGGAATAACCGTTCCACCTGAAGTTAAGGAAATATAATTCCCAAACTTACCAACAAGCCTGGCAAGCGTGGTGTTTTAATGCCAACACCTTTCATAGCCATCTATGAATGTCGTCGAAAAAGATATGTCGAAATTTAAAACATGTATACCCCAGGCGAGTAGAGGCAAAAACCCGGAATCTGCTGGGACATTTATCATTTTCTTCTTAAGCTTCCTTTCAATACTTGAATGCATTGAGTCGCATTCTATCTGCGTGTGTCCCTTTTCAAGATGCTTCTGCTCAATTGTTATTTTGCTTATTTTACTCTCTTTGAATAAATTTAAAACGGTATTTATTTGAGAGAAAAGCATTCCTGTTCTGGCAGGTACAACCATCGCTATAAAAGGTAATCTTGCTTACGGCTTCATTTTACTCCATTACATGGTTTCTCACGAAACCATACAATATTAAAGTGAAGATGTTGGCTGTCAGTCCTCCTTGTCATTCGTGCCAAATGTAGACTTCGGACATAATAATATTGATTGCAAATCCATCGTGTATACATCACAAATTTCTGCTCCTTTGTCTTTCGGTTTTTCAATTAGTGTTTCTTTTTCACTTGATGTTCTTGATATATTTCTATGCTGATGTTTTCGGTTTTATAAGCTACAGATTTGTCGCATTGGTTTTTCTTCGGTGAAAATAACTCAACATCTTGATCTTCAATCGTGTTTGAGAAAGATGCAACATATAATGATAATAAGTTTTTCTCGGCACACCAATCGTTAGTATAAAGCCTGTAAAGTTTTAATTTAGAAGTCCAAACTTGTTCTATTCAAGGCTTGCTATTAGACATTCTACAGTAATGTGAGTCCAGCTTGGGTAAGCTATTTAAAAATAATGTTAAACCCTTGTTTTTTCTGTTTCTTTGCACCTGCCTATGGTTACTTCCTTTTTGAATTGGAATATCCTGAGTGCAATGAATGTTTTTTTTTTCAAGAAGCCAATAGCCAACTATTATTTTTGGTATGTTAATAGTATTGCAGAACATTGTTTTGCATTCTTTTAATCTGAGAGTTTGTTTGTTAAGAAAGTATGATTATGAATACACCCGTCTTGAATGGTCCTCTTGTTTTCGATTGTAGCTCTTCTAGTCGAACATTTGTTAATCCGTGCAGTGACATAAATTTGCTTCTCAGACCAGACAGCATCCAGAAATGATTAAAGAGTATAGTTCTGTCATTCTCTGTTAATTCCTTGCATCTTAAAGGAGCTTTTTCGAGTTAGAGTTGTAAAACAACAAACATTCATCAAACTTTGAAGCTAATTATATAATGTAACTTTTAAAACATTGCTAAAATATTGAGTACAATATTTCACAAACGTTTTTTGCTTACTTTTTTAATTTAAAAGGCCACTAAAATTGCCACTAAAAAAACCACGTTTTGCTGGCATGCAACGGTTACGGTTTAATTACAAATGTAGGACTTGGGCAAAATGCGTATTTATTTTTAAGTACTGCGGACTTTGGCTAAATTCGTTTAATCGGATTATGGCACGTAAACGTCAGATTAGGAATTTAGACCACTGTTCGATCATGGGTTTGTGCGATTTTAAGCAGATGATGCAGAAGCAGTTTTGTTTTGATCAAAAATGGACTTAGGCAACTTGCATCTTAGAACGACGATACGGAATTCCGAAAAATGATGTCTCTACCAGCAATCAGGTGACTACCAGCTCAATAGCGAAGATACTAGATTATAGTCTTAAAACCATTTAGAAACGCTGGTTTATTTACTTAATTCTAAAAGAAAATTTACTCACTAAAACCTTATATTCAATCGGATTGCATTATAACATACAGCTAGTAAGTATCAACATATTTTTCTGAAGCCGAGTCGAGTTTTACTTTTTCCTTATTTTTTACATATGATACGAGTAGAAATACACAGATCGACTTAAGAGGCACATTCATATAGTGAGGGTATATTTTTACTCACCGGGTATCAGGGTGCATATTATAAATCCATGATATATGTTCGCTCACACTTTTCACTTTGAATATAGAGGGCCAAGAATCTCCAAACAATGGCCATGGTTTTGTTTGTTTAACGCCCAATCGTGTAAAATGATTTAAAGGCCAAATGAAACTATACCATAAAAAAAACGCCACTACCCCAGCTGCTATTAACCATATCATTTTTGCATTTTATTCTAAAATTTAAATTCAACTATGCTGAAACTAGCATCGTTAATGATCGAGAGGTATCCAATACGAGCTACTAGGCATCACTGATTAGGTGCCCACTTTCCAAACTAATCTTATTGTCTTATTTGTATTCCGCGGTAACAAGCATCATCATTTAGAATTTTACACCGTGTACCAAAATTACATTGCATTTTGCAACGAAAATCATATTTTATTTCATTAACAAACTGAACTAATTTTATAAAAAAAACCGAAAATTAATGTTTTATTTTTATGATAATTAATTTCAAGCACTTTGAAATAAAACGTCTATTGCAATGAATCACATTTTTCGTTCCCTATACGCTTTGACATTGTAAATGTGGTTTTCGATGAGATAATGAACGTGCTTTGCCTTCAAATAATAATCACATAATGACTTAGCAATTTAGCAAATGTGTTGACTGCATAGCAGAGAAAACGTTTGGAATGTCGATCAAACAATGTTTTTATTGTCTTTTGTAGGAAATATGTGCAAGTGTTCGGTGCCTTCAGAAATAGAATATTTGACGGTATACTTAATGGGTACTAACGCGATGTCAGTACCAAAGCGATTTTACCATGAGTGGTGGGGTTCTCCTGTAAGGCAGGTCAAGGAATCGCGGAAAATATAAGCTTTATATATGGGATATAAGAATAACTGTGTTGTTATTATTTTTGATCTTCTGAGGAAATCTTCGTCATACTGATGAAACTTACCTTTCGCTTTTGGTTTAATGTCTGAAATTAATGCAAAATATGTAAAAATCTGTAAACATCTCTTCAGAAAATGCCGAAAAAAATGTTAGTGTCCGACTTTTACCCTAAATTTTATCCCTTTTGTCCACTAAATACGGGTTAAAACTTTTAGTGCATTATATGAAATTTTGATTTATTTTCCTGACTGGGTGTAATTGTTATTATATTATTATGCTTCCTGGGTCTCCGTCAAAGTGTGAAGTAAAAATTTTGAATATCGTTTATTTCATTACGTTTCGGCGAGACAACAGCGCCATCATCAGATTTAAAATTTACCCAACCTAGAAACACCAATCCACAATTAAAATATGTTGTATAGAAACTATAATTTATAAAGCGTTTAAACATTTATCAGTTCTTGAAGGAAAAAATCTTTCCTTTTGGGAGAGCACAACATTTGAAAAACTTACCTCATAATTGGTAAACATTATGTTCTTTTATGTATTTGCCTTCTTGAAACCTTAAATTTGTCTGAATTATTTTCTACATTTGCGAGAATGGTATGTATGTATGTATTGAGATAAGATAAGCGGAAATAGTTTTTTTCACTAGAGTACTGGGTGTGCCATACTTATGGCCTTATTAGGGTTTGGTAAATGTTGCTAAGGTTGTCGGTATCTGATATGAAATTTATTCATTTTTCATTCATTCAGTCACATTTGTATCTTTTCTTGGATTCTTCTTTTATGATAATTTGTTTCCCTGACTAAGATATCTGCGTTGTTAAAATCAAAATTATGTAACATTTGGTGTGCATGTTGTGGTAATGCTGTTTTATTTTCACTAGTATTTATCAGACTGAAGTTTGTCCTTCATTATCATTCATATCAAATATCACATTCTAAACAAATCACTCTATATACAGTATTTGGAACATCCATTCTGTCAGTTTTTCTTTTTAGTTTTAGGAAGCATTCAATTGTTTTTTTTTGTTTTTTCCGTAATTATAATGTTGTGTGGTTTTAGTCTTTTTGATATTTTTTTATTGATTTATTGTTATATTTAGTTGATTTGTAAATTTTGTTAATTCCTCCATTTACTATTGGTTCAGAAAAAATTTTTGGGTACCTAGTTGTTATTAAGTGCTATTTTCATAATATTTCATTTCAGTTCATTTCGAAACTACACAAAAAGTTCAAAACCAGAATCCTCGACCACATCAATCCCCTAATCCGAGAGACTTTTTTCCGAACAATACCAAAACTCCACTTCAAATCTCCCAATAGTCTAATGGCAGACCCCCCTTGGAAACACCCACCTTAAGCAAAAACCCGGCTTAAAGAAAAACTAAAGTAAATACATTAAAAATAAATAAGACCAAACCACAGAACCTGCTTGGGCCAGTTGAAGGAAGAAAATAAAACGTGCCGTACAGAACAGTACTTTAATATTGCAGTAATTATTTCTTAGACTGATGTGCGCAGGCGTATGTGTCAAAATAGCGCAAACTAAATTACTGCATGACCTTATTGGCCGTCCAATATCTCTCTAGTAACTGGATTCTGTTTTGCGTTATTTAAATTTCTTGTTTAAATACGAACGTAACAGAAAACCTGTAAAACAAGTGTCGTTTTAGTGTGAATCACAACTTCTATTGCCTTGGAAGATAATTTGTTGCATTTATCGATGTTTCCTTCTGTGAATTACGTTCTAAATTAAAGAGGTCTTGTCAACACTTTGAATAGGTATTTGTTCCATTTTCGAAAACAACATTTTTTACTGAGTTTTCCTACATTCACATTTTAATTTTAGGTTACATTTTCTAATAAGTTTCAATATCGATTTTTTTAGTGCGTGATATTTATTAATGTTCAGTGACTTTTGTTGTATTTTAACTTAACATCTTGAGTGCTCGATACAGAACACTCGAAAATTTGGTTCCTATTCAATCAGCAGCTTATCCGTAATAAGTATCTAAACTTTGACTTTATTGACAGCTTTTTTCAATGCACATTTTTCATGATTCCGATGTAAATTTTCTAGCGGGCTCTAAATTAGCGAGCTTTTTACTGCCCAGTATTCAACACTATCAAAAGCCCTTTCGAAACCGATAAACGCAACATATAGTGGGATGTGATATTCGTTGGCGAATTCTATTAGGATTTTCATTGCTAATTGCTGGTCACTCGGTCTAAAATCCTTTCTAAATCCGGCCTGTTTTTTCCATTGATATTCGTCGAATTTTATTGTAAGCCTAGTGGTTAGTATTTTTGTGAGGAGCTTATAAACTACATTAAGGAGTGTTATAAATCGATAGTTTTTTTATTCCTAGAGTATATCCTATAGATAGTATTATTCTTAAGTTATTCCAGTTGTTTGGAATACTTTTAACTTTAAGTATTTTATTTAGGAGAGTGTGGATAGTATCAGCTACAGTTTTTCCACCATATTTTAACATTTCTGTCGTTATTCCGCCTGTTTCTGGTGCTTTGATATTTTCCATTTCTTTCAGTGCCCTGTTTATTTCGATTCCGCTTATTTCAGGTTGTAGTTTTGAGTTTCCGTTCCTTATTTTATTTTGCAGTTGTTTTACGATTTCTTCCAGGGCTTCAGACTTTGTTTAGTATATTTCTGTATAAAATAGTTGTGTGATATTTATGATGTCTTTAATACTGGTCTCTACGCCTTTCATATATTTTACTTTATTTATCACATATCTACCCAATGTTGGTCTTAAGCATTTCATATTCCTGTTGTTTTCTATAACTTTTTCTGTTTCTGTTTCTTGGTTTTTCGTTTTCTTTTCTTTTATCATTTTCCTGATAGTCTTATCCATTTCTACGTTAATTAATGCTGTTCAGGTTTTTGTGTTAGTTGTGGTTTTTTAGCATTTATTTATATCTTTTAGTATTTTTTTCGGTATTGTGTAGCAAATATTTAAATACTGACCATTAGCAAACTGCTCAACAAAGTAAAAGTTACACGGCCAAATTTGTTTGAACTTTGGAACTGGATAAATTCTGACTGCTGCGTGATATTTGATTTTTGTTTCAGGCGTTGTCTAGTTTAATTATTTTTCTAACAGTCAGCATTTTTGCTGAAAACTAGTGTTTCAAATGAGACAACGTAAAATTTCATTAATAATGTCTGAGCAAAAAAAAAACGGTTTTTAAAATTGTTCGCCAATCTATTTTATTTTCTTTTCTTTCTATCTATTAAAAATCAATTTTTTGGTCTTGCAGTGATCCTTTAATGGTCTTCAATTGACTATTCAGTTGAAAACTACCTATGAGAATGCCAACTATGGAATACCTATTGAACAGCAACCAGGTTATGAGAAATGTCGTCTTGCCAACAAACGAAGGAATAAATATTGAGTTTAACAAACTGATATACATCTGCTTTGTAAACTGAACCAAGAGATTTTCCAGGTTATACCCTAAAGACGCCTTAAGTATATTGCAAAAAATTAATGTGCAGGGATATTTAACGAAAATCACGCTAGTCGTCAATACAAAACAGTACAAAATATGTCACGTACAATCAGTCGTAATGGACAGAAGATACAAACACAGAGGTGATCAGAGTAAGTCAACCACCAGCGGTTACAAGCGGTGCAGAATAACCACACAAATTAAAATTGGAAAACATGAATGAATGGAATAAAGCAGCACCCCAAACCATAAGATGGCACAACTGTTGACGCTGTTTATGTTATTTCAAGCGGATCGTGATCATACCCATTTGATAGTTTGCTCGCTGAACTTAAACCCAATATGATTTCGCTCCGCTCGCAACCCGTGGTCCCGTTGATACACAATAAAAATAAGCATGAACTTGTAAACTGATGACCCTGAAGTAAAAAGTTGTAACTACCATACAAATCGAATTAACTCCCGGCAACTACCGCATGTGATGCCCAAACGGAAAAATTTATTTTAATGAAGTTGGATAGTAGCCAAACTCAGAAAAAGCACATTATACCAAGCAAAAAGCAGTCGCAGAATGAAATGTTCTTTTTAGGAAGTATGCTTTTGTACATTCCCGATATTTGGAAGACGTAGGGAGAGATTTAAGATGAGACAAAACATGATTATATATTTTCTTGGCGTTGTAAATAATTGAGTATTTAATTAGTTCCGAGGAGGGAAAGGGTAGGCAAATATATTGACTTGCGTATCAAGCAGGCAGTCTCCAAGTTGAAAAAGTGGCCTCTTCAGGCCAAACAAGTAGCGAATTGCTCTTTTCTGAAGTTCAAAAATACTGTGAAATTGCTGGGTGTTACAGCAGCCCCAAAAAAGGAGGCCGTAGCGGATGTAAGACTGAAATAGAGAGAATTAGGCGAATCTGGCGGAGAACACATTTAACTCTTGAGAAAGTGATCGAATTGCGAAACAAGCGGAAGATAGTTTCTTTGTTAGGGAGTCAGCATGAGAAGATCGCTGTAGGTTAACATTAATGTTCAAACCCAGAAATTTCACCGACCCAACGAATTTAATATTGCTGTCATGAAAGAGCAAGGGCTGTAAAGCTCCTCTATAAAATAAGGCCAGAATATTTTCATGAACGATAAAAATAATATGAACATGAACTAATTTGTGGTTATGCAACAATAATTACAATTTGGCACAATCTATAGATAAGCAAGGATAGCAAAGCTTGGATATAAAAAAATGACATGTGGTCAATAATGACCTGCAGAGCATAAATACAACAGGAGTCCGGCTGAACGAAAACCATGACTAGTATACGAATTAGGATCGTGACATTTAGGACGTAGAAAGATAGAGAACATAGCGAAGAAGAGATAGGGGGTAGTTACATGAGACTAGAGGTGGGATGAACGGTTATGTTTCTGTAACGAGGTTGCAACGTTCCAGTTTCACGTTGGTAATAGGTTTCAAAATGCGGTTCCAAAAGGAATATGTTACTTTGAACATTTTTCATTAAACATGCGCAATGATGATGGTAGAAATAGTAATGACAAATAATGATTTCATTTATTAAAATAATAATTCTTAACTAAAGCTCTTAGATAACATAAAATATTCTAAAATCAGAAACAAAACATGGGTCAGTAGTACCTTAAAGAACAAAAGAACTGATACTAAACTAGATAAAATATATAAATAAAAACTGATTAAATAAAATATACGCTTTATTTGCAAAACTGTTTAAAAATCTAATTTTTTTTGATTTAAAAATTAATTAACGTTTAAAAATAAAAATTTTTGCAGATGCTTTTTACTGAGTTCGAAGTATTACCCGATTTAACTTTGGTACCACCAAAAAATACTTTTAAAAAATATGTCGACCTTACAACGCCTATATAACTAACTTTAATTTCATCTTATGACTGAATTTATATCTAAAAATGGCAAGCTTGCTTAAAAGCAGGTGCACATTCTGCTTACAACGTTTATTATTTTACATTTTAACTGTGATGGAATTTATGTCTTATTATTATTTTATTTTTATTACTCTATTAATTTTTATTACTCTAAATTTGGTCATAGCTCATATGCAAGTGTACTGCTTAGTTTGCTGATTATAGGCATACATATATATACATCTCGAGCTAAGTTTATTAATGAGAGAAATCCCTTTTATTTTAAGATCTATTACAGAACGTCAACAAACTAAATACTTCTAGACTAAAAATGTTGAATTAATATCTGATCCATATCTGAACGATTATGGACTCTGGAGAACTGAACAGAAATTCCTACAAACGAAAAGTGATAAACACAATAATTAAGGCAACACTCTACGATACATATTTTCCGTTGACAAATGGTTACTGAAACTGCTGCAATTGGATAGAGCGCTCGACGATGCCGCATCGGTTCTGTGCTAACGCAAACCACTTTTTCAGGTTTATGAGACAGTTCCAAAAAAAAACGTTTAAATCGGCAAACGGCTGTAGCAAGTGCGAAGTGCACGCAACTGTTTAGGTTATATGAGACAGTTCCAAAAATAACGGTTTAAGTCGGCAACCGGCGGCAACTGAGGCGAAGTGCGCGCAACTGTTTAGATTTTATGAGACGGTTCCCAAAAGAACCGTTTAAGTCGTCGAACGGCTGCAGCTGAATAGATCGCTCGACGTTGTCGATCTGTGCTGGTGCGCACCGCCGTTACGGTTTTATGAGAAGGTTCCAAAAACAACCTTTTAATTGGCAAACGGCTGCAGCTAGATGGATAGATGCTCGACGGTGTCGCATCGGTTCTGTGCGAACGGCTTTTTCGGGTTTATGACACGGTTCCAAAAACAACCGGTTAAGTCTGCTAGCTGTAACTACGGTTTCAGGTTACACGTTTGTAACAATGCTATTTTAGCTGTTACGTTAAATACCGACCATCCCTACCTGAGACATCTGGTCAATCTGCAATTTTTCAAAAATGCCGGGGATTTAGAACACCTGGAGGTCCTCACGAAATGTACCGAATTCACCGGCAATCAACCTCCCAACAAACTATCTCCCTCCAACTTACCCACATATGCTCAAAGTCGAAGAATAGAAGAGTGTATTCTACAGCCTTTCTCGAGTTTAATATGTCACTTTTTTGTCTATAATATTATTAGAAGTCAATACCGATATCGCCACCGACATCTCCTTAAAGCGTATCAACTTCACGTTAAACTTTTATATTTAAAAGAAAGTTCTCCTGGTTGCATTTTTTAATGATAGTTGCAGTTTTCTCCCGCTCCAAAATTATTTTTTTCTTCTAGTTTACGGGAATTTTTGTACGCACTGCTAGAATTTAAAAAAATGTTCCTTTGAAGGATGTTCAATTTTCCCACGATTACTGTAGTTGGCAACTTAATGCGGACTCGATATGATTTTTTTAACTATGGTGGTTCTTTCCCTTGCCTGTAGTTTTTGAATGCAAATGTCAAAGGCCAAGCACATTGGGACCAAGTTCGAGTGGCCCATTTTCATCTTTCCTCCGATTAACCTGAAACCGCATGTATTTAAGTTACATAATAAATCCATATTTGCATGACGGCCATCATTTAATTTTTAAATACATAATATAAAAAGTTAACTCTGTACACTAACAACCTAAAAATATTTCTATTTATAAAAATGATCCTGATCAGTTTTGAATTTTTCTCAGTCCTAACCAGAAACCGCCATCTGCAGTGTTTTTAAATGTTTTTTTGCAAAGTTTCAATGGCACACTGAGACGCTTTGTTGGCTCAATTTTGAAATTCAGCAACAAATGGTATAAAACAGCTTTCGCTTCAAGAATAGCGAACCTAGAACCGATACAGTTTCTCGGACCTGAACCGAATGGAATATATGTGTAGGGTCTAATCTTGTCCTTATTTTCGTCGGAAAATCGTTCGGGATCGAATTTCTCCGGATTTTCATAGTAACGTGGATCTCGATGAAGGCCCATCATGGGAAGCATCAGCACGTCTCCAGGCTTCAGGTGAACCGGTTTTTCATCGGGACGGACAGGTTGAATTGTGTATGATTTAGTACATTCTCTGTCCATGCCTGGAACGGGCGGCCATTTCCTAAGTGCCTCTAAAAAAGGTTGCCAGTGTCAGTAATGAAAAGCGTAATATTTTAAAGCTACACAAGTGATGGAAAATATTGCGTTTTTACCTGAAAACACCATATCCATGTATTTCATTTTCAGTAATGCATCATATGACAGCTTCCCATTATTAGCTTGTTGTGTCTCGATAATTTCTTCCCTGAGCCTCTCTTGAATATCTGGGTTTATTGCTATTTCGTAAGTTGCAAAACACAAGGAAGTTGATACAGTATCGAAACCAGCAAAGAAGAAAATTAATGCTTGTGACGTAATATCATCATCACTTAAATATTTGAATTCCTTCGCTTTTGGTTTATCTAAAATGTAATTGTTATTACTAATTTTGTTATGTACTATGCAAAAGTAATATATTACATTTGTAAGTAATTCTGTACCGAATTTTCACAAATTTGTATTGAGGTCTATTTAATGAAAATTATCTTACTTGTAGAAGAAAATTCTTTGACGGTGGCAAAACCTGTTTCGACAACTCCTTCTTCTTCATTAGTGATGCCTTTTCGTGTATCCAAAAGCAGATTCAGCATATCTTTCCTGACAATGCTTTTTTGAATCCTAACTTTGATTGTATCGTGTATTATGTCTCGAAAGTAGCGTACTGGATTTCTTGGAAATAGGGTTAATCTGAGGTACTGGAAAAGTATTAAACAATGCGTAGTTCAATATAGCTGTTAAAAACATTTAAGCTCAAAATGCAGTTATAAATACATTCATACCTTGGCCACTGTGGGCAATGACGCCAAGGTAATAAACCTAAGTTTGTTTATGAAACCACCGAAATCAGTTATTGTCTCGCCCATGTTATAGAATGTATTTTTGGGGTCT